TATTACGACCGTTTACCATTTCCAGCAATGCGTCTTGTGCGCAGGAATGGTTTCACCTAGGTAGGGACGATGCTTGCGCTTGCGCAGGCCTCTGCCCTCAGTTAGCTTCTTTGGTTGGTTGTTGGTCGATATTTACATATTATTGATAAGGATCTTACACATCTTCGTTACGCTTTTTTGCCGAATGACCCTTCCGTATAGATGTATTTACGTCAAAAACAATAAATACTTCTGCCACACACTGAAAAACTGATATTATGTGTAAATGAATGTAAGTTTATTATTTCATAAATTATTACATAAATTATTTTCAAACACCCTAAATGTGGAAGACAGGCCCAGATCTTTCTGCACTACGATTACCTCCGAGCAATCAGCTATCTGATGAGTGAGCTCGTTTCGTCAGTCTCTTTTACAACAGTATCTACTTTTCCGAAAAAATGCCTTGTTCATTGGGTTAATACACTACCATCACCATGTCGCAGAATACCCTAATTCTGTAGAAGGGGTTGCCGCACGGATACTCGTTTTAAACAGGATTGTATCGTGCAACAAGTGTAAATGCATCGGAAAGAATTGTTTATTTCCGAACTCCAATTCATGATCTGTATTCCGGGCCTTTACATCCAAGCAATGGTGTTCCACATCATCCTTGTAATTAATTTCCATAGATTTAACATGTATCAAGTATTTTTTGCAAAAGCATTTCAAATTTTCAGTCAATGCTAATTAGACTCTATAACTTCAACTCAATAATTCGAAGCACTTCTAGGAACCCAATTAACTGCTTTTATCATTATAGTAGCGATTCAACGATTATTTCGTTTGTCTTTGTCCTCTTTCATTGTGTTCATTGGTCTATATAGTTTCTTTTAACTTGTGACTTTAATGTTCAAAGACCTCTCAGTCAAAGGTACGTCGACGGTGTATACACTACAATGATTTATAGTTGATATTTCAAGGCATGAGTACACCATATAAATCAACGCTTTAGAGTAAAATATAAGTGACTAGATTCCAATAACGTCATTGGTCAACATTTTTCTTCTGAAACTATTCTAAACTACTGATATTTTTAAGAGTTCTGACTGAAATATTTGCCCTAAGGGAATAAAAGCTGTAATGTGTTGAAAATAAACATTGAACGTAATTTCTAATGCCAGAAATTCGGAAGACCCTTATTTCTATTTTTATAATACAGATTATAAAATGTTTTGTAGATTTCCATTCAATGCGCCCATTACGCTCTGACAGATAAATTTCAATACAAGGTAATAAATCAATTCTATTTTTCGTAAATTATATTCACTCAGTGACTTGATCATTTTTTAGCAGCTGAGATCAGATGCATGGTACCGATGACAAAACGTCTCTTTTCCACAAAATATATGAAGTGCCGGGGTACTTGTAATTGTGGGCCAACTGAAGCCAAATCATATTAAATAGTTTTTGGACCTATGCTATTGAAACACAACTGATTAGTACATCGGAGTAAAGTTATTAATATTATTAAAATAATAAAAATTTATTAATTAGCATTCATCTAAGCCTATTACCCCAAATGAAAACTGTTGAAATCGAGTCAATGTGCCACGACCGAGGGAACTTCCAAAAGGATTTATTACTAATTGATTAATACCATAAATTCATACAGCCGTTGCCAATAGTTCATAAATATATGCTACAGAAAACATTAAAAGTGTGCTCGCTCCGATGCTGTGTAAAATATTTTTTCTATGAGGTTAACATTTAAGGAGAGACACTGTCATTGCGGTAAATTTAAATTAGTTATTTTAGTATGTATTAATTATTAATCACTTAACAAGCTCAATCGGTATAGGCTAGGCTATGAAATGAGTGACCGGGGTTTGTTTCTCAGCACGGACATGGATTATTCTGTTCGATATATGCACGTATGTGGCTTATGTGTTGTCTTTATATATCGAGGGCATCATGCCATAAGGGCGTTAAACATATGTGCATAATCGGAGATAGTCTGTCTAAGAACATGAAAGGGTAAGATGAATTACAGGTCAGAAAAGCGTATTATTTAAAGTGCTCTACATGGAGATAAAGTCGCATTTGGTTGTATGAACACAAACAATGAACATTTGCCAAACTGTATAAGTGTAAGAATTTCAGAATCCTGAAAATCAGTAATTTTATTGATACGCTCTTCTGGCATTATGCCCTTGGCATACATATTCACACATGCAGACAGACAAACTTCGTGCGTAAACCAAGTTCAGCATCATTTTGGTGCCCTACATAGCGTGCATTTGCCTGTTCTTCTGATTTGTTATTTAGGTGGCTCCAAGAAATTTGTCCAAATCCTATAACCTTCAATAATTCTCTGGCTTGCTACCTTTATATAGTGAGGGCCTATAGCCTCATACACTATCCCAAAGCTTCAGGACATAATTCACATTTGTTAATACAAGCTGCAACGACGTAATAATAATTTCGGAAGGCTCTTTATATTCGCCGCCATATTTTTATGGTTTGTTCTGTGTAGCTCATACGGACCGGAAATTACGTTTAAAATATCTTTACCTCTGTTCCCATAAAAGTTGATTTGTGTTAGCTTTGTATAATGAAGGCTGCTTGCATGGAAACATGTGTACACTGGTTAGTGTGACTTTCAGGTGGTCATATACAAGAGACGTAGTTCTTTGCTATCTGGAATGAATAGAACGCGAATATTGGTAACACAAATCATGTACCAGTGGTCCAGGAGCCATGTTGTGGATTTAACACTCACTTCCGAACAAAACAATTTTCCTTTCTTTCTACGGGTAATTTTTAAACTTCTTTGTCATTTGTATAACTCGACTTTTAGACGAATTTCTTTGTTTTGGTCGAAGGATAGGTTAATGTTAAAATGTCTCTTTCACTGTCCCAATTAATAAATTTCGAATAAACAAGTACATTTTATACACTTTTAAAACATAATAATACGATTATATTACTTAAGCATGAATATTACTTACTGTCCTATATGGTACAGCACGTGTAGGCCATCATAAGGGTTGCCAATTAACCATTTTATGAATGACATGCCACAAAAGACCCTCTACGTGTGTACTTCATATTTCCCACATATGTTAAGTTATGATTTCATATTTTCTAAATAAAATTACATATAACTTGTCACCTACTTGAAATCAATGTTATAAAGTTAGTATTTCACATCAATTCAGCCATTTACTTCAAATTTTAATTTATATAATAAAAGTTTAATACAAAATATTGAAGATCGTAATAATTGTAAGAGATGTGGTAAAGCTATGGACATAAGTAAATTCTCGTTGAACGTAAGCCAACACCGTCTGTTATGTCTGAATGAATAACTTGTATAATGTATCATGGTATTCCTCAACTTCTTCTGAAAAATATTGGGACATTCCTTTAGCCTAAAACACGAATGCTTTCCTCAACGTCCATTCCAGTTCATGTCATGGACTTCCTTTCTTTATTCGCGGTACGGTAGGCCTATAAATGAATGATTAAGTGTTTCTGAATAGGAAATATGACAGTTTTTTTAGTACCGAATATAAATAAGTTGCATTACGCTGAGACAATTTTATGAGAAAGCATAGTACCAGAGATATATTAATGGTAACTTAGGCCTAAATAAAAATTGACAGTGGAACCACGGTTCCGGAGAATTTGACGTAAATACGTCTATACGGAAAGGAAGTTTATATATTGGCTTTATTCTAAATATTTCCTCTATACATGCTTTACAATTGAGTAAAGTTTGATTAAGACATTGCTTATTTAACTTGAATTAGATGAATGTAATATAAAGTAATGTAATGTAAATTAATGTAATGAAATGTAATGTAACGTTTCCTAGGTAACAACAGACAGATGACGTTTCCTAGGTAACCAACTTACACATTTTCCTGTCACTTTTTCGTTACACTTTTTCGTAACACTTTTTTGCGGAATGACACTGACCCTTCCATATAGACGTATTTACGTCAAAAATAAAATTGAACGTCTCAGGGATATACTTTAGACGTACAGTAAAATATTGAGTTAGGAGGTCCTATGGCAATTGTAAGTAAAGAAAGAAGTCTACGAAATAAATTAATTATACAACTGATTTCAATCTACTTGAAAAGAATGTTACTAATTATTTCACATTTTAGACGAACTAACTCCTAATTTAAGTTGGTAGCAATAGACAGAGAGTATATTTGTGGAATTGCGGGTTTCTTTAACTTAAGAGTACTAACTAAACTCTTCTCCGATCCAATCAGCCGCTCGCGTGATGAATGGAGTCGCTAATGCGATGGGACTTGACTCCGGTGACCAAAGCCATCACTCATCGCGTTAGTTAAACTACCAGCGACCTCCCTCGACCCAAAGACATTTCAATCAATATTTCCACCATTTTTTGTGTACATTCCACTCTTCCGGTGAATTTTCATACAGACCTACTTCTCATTTTACAAGTATAAATATCTATCATGTTTTCACATGCACACATCTGATAAAATAAACATCTTTATTACCATTGTCACAAACTACTATAATTTATCTTTCGTCATCTTTATTAAAAACACAAATTTAAATCACAGTTGTCTTATATGACACACCAGTATGTTTAGCACAGTATTAATATTGGTCCATTTTATTGTTTTCTTCAAAGGCCTGATTTTAATTCGGCCGAGAAAATGAGTATCCAGTTTTAAACGTTTTGTTAGTTATGTCGGAAAAATATGATGTTCGTCTTCACAAAACTTACATATTACATTACAAAGGACATCATTATTTATTTCGAAACCCTATACCATCCATAACGTTCACAAAAATTCAGATCTGCATAACCCGGGATATGATTTAATGTACAATAAAAAAGAATAATGATAAATTAATATAATTGTGATACCTAGATAAAAGTTTTAAACGTGTTTGCTAACCACAAAATAACTGATTTCTACAAAGATCACTTCAAATTATGTGCCAGAGGATTTCCTCGAGTTGTAGGCCTGAATTGTCCTTACTCTGCCATGTTATTCATCCTGCTATTCCATGGATATATTTACGAGACGCCCGTGGACAGTGCACGCAGGAAACTGACTACATTGGCAACCACGTTCTGCACTCATATCTTGGAATCACGGTAATGATCATACGACTCAAGGGGCAGATCTTTAAAGAGAGATGGAGTTTGCCTCTAGTAGAAGAGATTTTAGATTCCAGACAGTGAATATCAAGACGTATCCTATCCATTTATATCAATATTATTTCTTTCTACAAAAAAGACCCCACAGCAGATAACTTTAACCCAAAAGCTTATTTTGCCTTGATAGGAAGTTTTTATCAACAAATCGCTCGAAACCGAAGTCAGGAAAAAATGTAGTACTTAGTATCTGAGTTGATGATTTTAAAATGAATCATCTTAAAAACTTTTAAAATTGATTTAAGTTCTTAATATTAATTGAATGTTGAAGACTGCTGGTCTGTACATGTGAGCATGTATGACAAAAGTCACACAGAATCTTCTTGAGTAGGACTGAACACGTTTCAAAAGCCTACTTTAAAAGAGTAGAAGATGTTAAGATAAAATTTAAGAGTTATTTCAGACCTGCAAAGAAGAAGACTGTCTTCCAGGATGATTCGCCGTCTATTCTGGTAGAATTTTACGACGTTTTAGAGGTACTTACACCGGAGCCCTGATGATGGAGGTAGCAAGCGCCACAGAAACGTCTAAAAACTTCGGTAAACCACATTACACGGCACAACATCCCAGAAGACAGTCATCTTCAAACTTGTCTTCGTCAGAGCCTGAAATCTTAACAGGGAGGTTTCAAAGCATGGAAAATGGATGTAACTGGCTTAGGGACTCTTGTAATGCAGATTTTTGTGTTAGTGGTGTTGATCCTTCAAGATTTATTACACATCGTTAATTTCTTTTGTAGTTGATATTTATAATTAATTCTTTATTTCATTTCAAAATACTGTACAAAAGAAGACGAACTGTATTTCTGATATGTCTGAAAATATTGGAAAAGCAAGCAAACTTCTCATTTAAAAGAGCTAAGATCATATCGTATACAAACTTCATGCAAAATAAAGGTTTGAATTAAAGTGACTGTGTGCCAGATAAATTGAAAAAAATTAAGGAAGAAGCTAATATTACGGTATCTGTTGCACGATATGGAACAAAATTTAAAAATTATAGCGAAATAAACTAGTCTTATATATGACAGCATGTAGCTAACGGAAGCTGCAGTTAGGGGGTGGAACAGTGGAGTTGTGTGTTTGACTTTGTCCCCAGGAGCAGCACTGTGTGCTAATATGTGACTCTGCTAGTGTCCATATGAGCTTGTGTTGACTGTTTGTTCTCTTACGCAAATTGACATTCGTTGACCAGGGGCCTTCACTAGTACACAATTTAATCGATTTCCCAAATTTTCGATTCCAACTTCATTCCTAATCTCGAACACGTACACTATATGATGTGATCACCAATACCTATATTGCTGATCAGATCATCTAATGTACATCAAATGTTTATGTTATTGACACCATTGTATCTGTGAATTAGTTTTCTTACATATACATACTGAAAATACAACGTTCAATAATTGTTGCTCAGTACATTATCACAATTCTAAATAACATATGCTGCTTCTGAACAACAAAAACCGGCCTACAAACCTACTAATTTATATCCATATTTTGTTACGAATGATTAATGTCATTGTATTAACAGAGTAAAATAAAATTTGTATGCCAGCGTTTTGAAGAAATCTCCGGATGTATTTCCGAAGCGATAAAGCCTAAACGATATAGGCTCTAAACAAATTGTGAATATTTTATAGACATAATCAAATATTAATATTTTCAAAAGCATCTTACATAAGTCTGGAAATTCATGACTTTATTATATTTTAATTAACAGATTACATTGCCTCATGGAGTACAGTAGAAGAGAAGATAATAATCTACTAGCCCGACAATAAATTATCCTTTTTGACGTAAATACGTCTATAAGGAAGGGTCATTCGGTAAAAAAGTGTTACGAAAAAGTGTTAATAAAAAAGTGTTACGAAAAAGGGAAACGAAAAAGCGTAACTTCATTGTTATGTTACCTAGGAAACGTCATTTATTTACTTAGCATTGTTATTACCTATAAAACATTACATTACCTTACCTTACATTACATTACATTACCTTACATTACCTTACCTTACATTACATTACATTACCTTACATTACCTTACCTTACATTACATTACATTACCTTACATTACCTTACCTTACATTACATTACATTACCTTCCTTTCTGTATAGACGTATTTACGGCAAATTCTCCGGAACCGTGGTTCCACTATCACTTTTTTATGAAACCTGAAGGTTCATTCCCGTGTTCAAAAAAGTCCGTCACTGATATCTGTCCTAAGTCAGGTTAAGCTAATCCCAATGCTCAAACTCTATTGCTTCACGACCCCTTTCAATATTATCCTCCTATCTGTGCCTCGGAATCCCAAGTGGTCTCTTGCATTCAGATTTTCAGATTGAATCTTGTATCTGTCTCGTATTTATCGACACATTTCACGTACTCACCCATTTCGTTCTTCTTGTTTATATCACCCTACTAATATTTATTACAAATTACAAAGCAACTAATTCTGCAGTGTTCCTCCATATTCCCGTTAGTTCGTCTACTTTGGACCCAAATATTCTCCTCAACATTCTGTCTTTCACACCTTCATTTTTTTCTTCCATTAAGAAAAGATGATAGCGTTTATTCTTATAGAAAACTACAGATAATGCTGAAAACATATACCAAGAGGAAAAATATTGTGAAATGAATACTCGCAAACGGTCCCTGAATTTGATTAGCTATAAATTGGTTAGTGAAATGTTTTTTTGTTTCTGTCGATCCCGAATATTTAGACTCTGTAGCATTTTTGAAGGACTTCATAATCATCTTTATAACATAATTTTGGTTTATTGTTAGATTACTCTCACAATTGTCTACACCTATTTTACATATACGCCCATTTCGTTATTAATTAAGCAAAAATGTATTGTACATGCCTGATGGTGATATAGAAGTTCAAGTAATAAAACAAGAATAGGCTCGTAATTTGGGAGCAATAAGAAAATGTTTTCGTTATGTACTGATTAAATTAATTCAAGATTATGTCCAGAAGCGGAGATTTTGGGTACTACGCTAAACCATGTGGTTCCAAACAGAGATAATTGGAAATTTAGTTCCCTTAGCCAATTAATTTGTTTTTGATGTGGATAGGAATCAAAACATGAACTTAATTTATGAATGCATTTTTATTGTAAGTTTTCTTGTTTTAAGGACGACTATTTTATTAAAACAAAATTGCGTTCGCTGTGGGTGGTCCTCATACACGGAATTTTTGTGGTTATTTTTTTAAACAAGGCGTAGTTATCATGACTCGTGTTATTGGAATGAGACCAGAGTGGTTGAAAATGCAAGCAAAACAGACATGTTATGAAATGGGTATGTTTATAAATATCAAGCTGTTTGTTGCGGATGGGTCTAGCTATTGGGCATCGGTGGTAAACCAACATCGGTTTCTGACGGTGCGTCTAATGCGAAACTTAGTAGTTGAACAAAAAGAGGAAATTTGTCTGTAACACCGGTCATAAAAATATTTTTGTGTTTGAACTGTTTGTACAATACTGAAAATTTCATGGACACTTATTTTGCTGAACGGCAGTCTCTCTATTTGAAACCCGTATTACTGTTGTGTTCTTGTGGGAAAACTGCAAACGTCTCATACGTGGCATACAAGGTAATTTTCATCATTTTCCCGTCTCGAAACCATAATTTTATCGAAAACTTGAAAGGAAATACAAACTTATCTTCAGCAACATTCTATAAATATTTTAGTCACAAAGAATCTCTTCCAATAAATGAAAATTTGATGTCCACACAGATTAAATTGGGTAATTTTGGGAAACTTTTTTGAATAAGAAGAAGTAGAAGTAATGTTAATGTTCCTAACTTCAGTTCCAAATCTGTGCTGTCTTCTGAGAGGTAAATCTGGATTTCACGATGAAAGACAAGAAACATTATTTTAAAAACCCATATAAATTACAACACATTTGTGTTATGGAACTTCTGCTGTCGAAATATCAGTGTTTCTTGCAAAAAAGTTCTATTATAACTGGAAGGTTAGGTAAACAGTGTAAAATATTTAAGACCTTTTCCATTCTAGTCTATCACTAAACATTTTACATGTCATCATATTCCTGACTACTGTGTGAAACAATATGTCAAATTAATCTAAGGAATTTTAAAATCAAAATATTTCATAAGTAATGCAGATATTATCAATTTAGGGAACTTAGAAAATGTAACGCATAAAATTAACAATTCTGGATCCTTCACTCGTTTATTGCATTTAGATTTTCAGTATGCAAATGTTGACGTGTGTTTATGTTTAATCGTCTTGGAAACTGTGAGACTTCCGGAAAAGAATATCAACCTCAAGAAATGTTTTGCGCGAAGTATTTATGTACTGATAAATATGTAGCAGGTGGCGCTAGAATTACGCTCAAGATGGGAGCAAAACGCATGCAGGATTGCATATAAAGTGGCTATTAATATCGTCTCAGTTTAACTAAACTTGAAATGTGTCAACAAATTCTCTTACTTCATAAAAATCCAACCACCATTTCTCAAGTTGTACATATATACATATATATTTTGGACAGACAGAATGTGACATTTAAATTGGTGCTTTGTAGGGTTGCAAATGAGTTTAAGAAACTATGGACAAACGATGGATAAAGTCCTTCAGAATAATTACATCCTAAATAAAGTAGCAAACTAAATGAAGAACAAATGACTAACACGCAATAAAACAATTCTGAACTCCTCCATGCAATTTACTGCCTTGCGTGATTGCGAAGGCACATCAAACAAAGCAAACCGAGCTTAAAGTCTATTTGATTATAAGCACGACAGCTACATATTTTGTGATGGTACCCCAACAACACCTACATTCCATAATTTGTATATTCGGTTTCACACAATTTTTCTCAGGATTGTTAATAATATTATTTGGTATCTGTAGGCAGTATCGGTTGCGTTAGAATTCGCCACCAGGAAAGTCCAAGATAGGCAGGAGGGTTTGCAATTGAATGGAACACATCAGCTATTGGCATATGCTGATGATGTTAATTTATTGGGGGACGACATAAATACAATAAAGACGAACACAGAAGTTTTACTTGAGGCTAGTAGAACGACGGGCCTAGACATAAATTCAGAAAAAAAACTAAGTACATGTTAGTATCTCATCATCAGAAGACAGGCGGGCAAAATTAACTTAGGGTAGCTAATAAGACCTTTGAAAGGGTTACAAAGTTCAAATATCTGGGAACAACTATAACAAATAAAAATGACATTCATGAGGAAATTAGGAGGCGACTTAATTTCGGAAATTCTTGCTATTTTCTCAGTTCAAAATATTTTGTCTTCCCGTCTGATTTCAAAGAACCTGAAAATTAAAGTATACAAAACAATAATCTTGCCTGTTGTTTTGTATGGGTGCGAAACATGGTCTCTCACTCAGAGGGAGGAACGCAGATTGCAGGTGTTTGAGAATAGGGTGTTGAGGAGGATATTTGAGCCTAG